ACCCAGAACTAATCGAGCCGTTTGTGCCAGGATGGGGAGAAAGGTATTGTAATAATGTAAATTATGTAAAAAATAATGCGTTTTTCGAACCACCAAGCATGAGAGCATGTTCTAGTACACCTCCAAAACAAAATCAAGACTTTGTAAAAGAACATAATAGGACCCCTTTAAACATTAACCCGAACCCGACCCGAAACCCGAAAGTATTTTGGGACAAGTCGGGCTCGGGTCGGGTAGCAGACTTCACAGAGATCGCCCCCCTAAGGCGAACTATTGACATTTCGAAACGTTTCGAAACAGTTATGACGTAACGAAGCCTCGTTTACTGAAATCACGTGACTTTGGCATTTTGATACGCGCTCTGCGTCCCAATTTGCCTACTTATACTATGCCCTAAAAGTATGCACTCTTTTTGTGAAGAAAAAGTACATACCTTTGAGTATGTAGAAGAATAGTAGGCAAGCTTTGGGACATACTACTTCGTCATAACTGCGTCTTTAACGGACGCTCTGTGTAGCAGACTTCACAGAGATCGCCCCCCTAAGGCGAACTATTGACATTTCGAAACGTTTCGAAACAGTTATGACGTAACGAAGCCTCGTTTACTGAAATCACGTGACTTTGGCATTTTGATACGTGCTCTGAATCACTGTTTCGAAACAACTGATTCGCAAAGGTTTCGAAGCTTCATGAAGCAGTGTTTCAAAAGCGGTCATCACTAAGGTAAGCCTCACCCACTCCTGACAGCAAAATGGATATATTTGCATGACTTTCTAACATTTACAGATGAAAAATATACCTGTGACGTGTCAGTTATGCACTGAGGAAAACGCAATGTCTCAAATGCATTAAACAGCACAAATATTCGTTGTTTGCCATGGTGGATCGATTTGATCCATGATCGACATTAAGGGATGCTTAAGAATAAGTGTGCACATCAAATTATTCTGACTCATTGAACCTGGATCTAATTAGTGAGATTGCGTGAACTTAAATTGTCGTTTATGAAACCGCTTTAGTCCCGATTGATTTGTTAGGTTATTTCAAGTCAGGTTTTGGACTTTAATCCCCGCTTTGTCAAAAATCTTTGTCAAACACTTTGTCACCTTAAAAATGTAAACATACCACACATGTGACATACATAGCTCATATGAATTGTGGAAAAAATACCTTCCTGTGTTCATCACACATGTTAAAAGAGTTTGGCTCTGAATCCTGCACTGCTCATCACATGTTTTCTACCGTCAGGAACACGAGTAGTCTGGCAAGACACCAGTTTGTAGTAAAATGAAAAGTAGGAATCATGAACCAAAGACAAAGTGTTGTCTACATGTTCAATGAAAGACATCAGATTCACAACTTTTAAATTCAAGAACCTAGCTGAGCATAATGTACAGTGCAATACAGACACTAATAAGCATATATAAAATTCAGTTAATTTAATTGATTATATGAAACTGAATTGATATATAAGAAACTAAATAAATAGTTGTTCTAGAGTTCTAACCCAATGCAAAATGTTGATTTCAGGTCAGTCATAAATCCAGGATGAAACATAAGCTGCTTTATGTCCAGGGAAGAGGATACAGAGGCACAAGAGCTGGTTAAGCAAGAGATCTCAGGAAAAAAAAAAAAAAACAATCAGCAGATTAAAATTACTCAAGCCAAAGTATCTCTCTTCCGAAGCCTCATCACTCACGATCAAAATACGATTACGCGAGGAAGGAACTACTGACGACTTTAAACTCTAATAAAAAAATTAACTGCAGGATTACACATGGAGAACTTTTATTTTCTCGCTCAAAACCAATTTTTTTATTGGAATGAAAATAATTTATTATCCCTATGTATGGGAACGGGATTAAACGAAAAACGCACCTTCACCTTATGGCCTAAATCAGCAATGAATGACTATGAGATGGCACCATTGGTAATGCACATCCTGAAGCTTTAAGGCTGAATGCCATCTGCTTGAAATAAAATCCCTAATGCAGCAAGATCATTTTGTGCAGAGACAGGAATTCAATATTGAATTGTAGATAAAATAGTAGTGGCTTTTGGGACATTCAAAGACAGACAGGACAGTAATTGACAGAATCAATACTCTGAGACCCTCTTATTCTATTTTTATGTTGTCCCCTTGTGCTCAGTAATTATTGATTGGTCTGCTCCTGTCAGTAGATTGATCTTTCATGCATGGGCCAGTGGCTATCAGAATTAGGATGTGGGTCTTGATGGAATAAATTACATTTGTAAACCATATTTCTTTATTGTTTTATAGTCTGTAGGCTTGTCTGGTGGGCAAAAATTCACAATCCCTTTCTATATTACAACAAAAGGCTGATTAATAATGCAATAATTTGGTCATCTTATAATTCTAAATAATAGAGAGTGTCATTGTATGACCAGTAATATGAAACATGAATATACATAACAAACAAGTTGAGACAACTGCCCACCAGTCTTGATGCTTTATGAGAATATTTGTTTTAAGAGTATTCCGTTTCAAAAAGAAAACACTTCACCCTTGGAATCAAAATGGTTCCGTATTTCATATAGCTTGTGAGAGCTCTTATTGTGAACAATGTGAAGTATTAGAGGCCAAGTAACCTAATTACCTGCGAGACATGGGGTGTCTGAAACAGAAAGCAGCTGGCTTGCTGCCTCGCTGCCCAATAAAATTGCTGATTCACACACAGCATTTTTGTATAAACCTTTTATACTTTTGCTAAACTTGTTTCAGACCAGCTTTAAAGACACCAATATATTAAATTCAAGTGAGTTTAAAAAAAAAAAAAATCAAATACTTTGACTACAGTGCTTTTTTTCCGACAGAAATTAAATCAGTTGGAAAAAAGCAAACAAACAAAAATGCCTTTTTTTTCTACTGCATTGTTAGATATTATTTTTATTATTTTGGTGGTCTGTTGAATCCATTGTTATTTTAGTATAACTGAGATACTATACATTTTTTAAACACTTAGAATTAGATTTTATTTTTGCATTGACCATTTTCATTTAAATTTTAGTTTGAGCAAATTTGAGTATTTTTGTCATTTTATTAGCTTTTTATATGCCTATATACTGTATTGTTTATTATTTATTGTAGTTTTATTATTGTAGTATTTCTTTTTCAGTTTTAATTTTAGTTATTTTAGTACATTAGATTAAATGAAAATGCTTGGTTTTATTTCAAGTAATGAAAATGTTTGAATCACATGCACAAGATGAGTGATTTATATACCTTTTTAATTAACCATTTTCCATAAAATAACATTTACTTTCACAGGAAACAAACACTGCAATATATTCAACATGAGATCCCTCACTGACTCTTTTTACATATCATATAAAACCAAATACATATTACATTATAAAAAAAAAATAAATAATAATACAATATTCCAAACTAATTGTTTATTCACCACAAATGTCTCATAAATTTGTCAAATATCAGACAATTTGAGTTTTCAGTCTTTAGATTTACATACAATCCTTCTTTACAGTAGACTTTTTGGATTTTTGTCCATATTTTGTTCACATTTTGTAAAAAGCAAACAGCCTTCACAGCAGAGTGTTTTCTTGTGTGAAGGCCACACTGGTTGTACTTTGCTTATTGTGTGTACATTTCTTCCTTACAGTCTCACTGCTACAAACCCTTCTCATTCCATTGTTTAACCGTCCACACTTGAACACAGCCATAAAAGATATTCTATAGTTCCTGTTCATCCAGCCATAGAGGATGGGATTGGCAAAAGTGGAGCACATTGCCACAGTATGGAAAGCCGTATAGAGCAATTTGAAGTCTTTCATTTCCAATATACTACTATCAATATCCACAGCAAGCTGAAAAGCGTGAAAGGGTAGCCAGCTAACGGTGAAGACCACAACTACAGCCACCAGCATTTTTGTAGTTTTCTGTCGTCGTTGATGACGGTCGCTACGGCCACCGCCGGGGCTGACGTGATTTCTTAGCTTGTTCCAGATTCGAGTGTATGCAAATGAAATGATTGACAACGGCAGGCCGTACTGTAGAAAAAACATGGCGATGCTGTAGATGGTCCCATCTGCACTACTTCCAGGCCACTTCTCGGCGCAACCTTGAATCGTCTGGTCAGGCGTCAAGTCAAAGGTCACGTATTCACGAAAGATAGCTAGAGGACTGGCAAGGATTGCGCTTGCCACCCATGTGATCACGATGACGACTATGCACATGTCTTTTGACATCTTGGTTTCCATGTGGTAGACAATGCTGCGGTATCTGTCCAGAGCTATAACGTTGAGTGTGATGGTCGAAACGTGGACCGCTAAACCTTGTGCATATGGCAACAGGTAGCACATCACCTGTCCGAATTTCCACTGTCCATAGAGTGTGTACATCAAAGTAAAAGGCAAACACAATGTGTTGACCAACAAATCTGCTACAGCCAAGTTGACAATGAAATAGTTAGTCACCGTGTGTAAATTTCTAAACTTGTATACAACATATATGACCAAGGAGTTCCCGGTCACGCCAAAGACGATGATGGTGCTGTAAGCCAAAATCAAGATCACTTGAACACCCACCAGTTTTGTACTGTCTTCCAGACCATCTAGTAAGACACCCTCATCTTGGATAGTGGCTTGTGTAGAACAGTTTGCGGACTGAATTTCGTCTTCAGATATGTTCATTTCAGTTCTTATATCCATATTTAGCATTCGTTCACTTAAGTCACTTACTCTGGAAAAAAAAAGTAAGAGTAAAGTGAAAATGAAAAATTTATGAAAAATATATACTGTATTCAAAGCAGAAAATGTATTATTATTAATTAATAATTAATTAAATAATGCATAAATTATGAAATGCTGGATGCCCTATTATTATACCATCAGTGATTAAAAATGTTCAAGAATGCTAAATTACAGAGGTTCAGATTAGGATCTTATTTTCATGCATAGCAATGCCATGCACTGTCGATTTAATGCATGATATGTTTTACTATTTGATGAATATATGAACATGTTAATTCATATTTTATATTAATAAATGTTTGAGTGTACACTTATTATCCATAGTATATGATTATTTGCATATGCACGTTTGCACGTGTTGTCACTAATAACATGCGGTCAATAAATTATAACTATAGATATAAACTGCATATTTTGTAAAAAAACAACAACTTTGGATTGATCAGAGGAAAGAAAGAAAATGAATTTAGGTAGAAAATCCTTTTTGAAAAGAGTAATACAAGTCCTTAAAGTGTCTTACCTTCTTTAAGTTGTCAAGTTTCATGCAATATAAGCTCACGTACGTATCTTGCAAAAGAGAAAAATAGACGCATAACTCAACGACAGTCAAGAAGTGTCAATAACACGAGTCGGAATGAATTCGATGCACTGAAGGAAAAGGATCGCTTCCCTGAGCGTCTGCTGGGAGTCTAGAGGCTGCCTCTGCGTGATCTTTGCATGCACAAATCCAGCAGTGCTCGCGAGATTGTTGATTGACATCGGACTTCATAATGAGCAGTTTGCTTTCTAATTAAAACTATAATATAAAGCTTAATGATAACAGATCAGAAGTTTATGAATATGTAATTATGTTAATTTATATTTCATAATAAAATAGTCTATAAGGTTCTTGACATTCAAATTTTAAAAATACGTTTCTAGCCTATATAATTTATGCTAATAATGTTTATTAATGTTAATTAAAATTATTACAAAGTGTTAACAAGTGTTTTAAGATAATTTACTCACATGAAAATAACTTAATTATCACTTTCCTTTTTCCTCTAATTTAATTTAATTTGATTAAATCATTTAATGTCATTCACATACAACATGGTTTGCTCAGCTCTTTCACATTGTCATTTTGCATATGGTATGGGGACACAGAGGTTTCAAATATCAAGAAATGTAATCATTAAGACAAGAGCACAATTGTCTGGTCCTCCTGATCCACATCAGGTAGAAATGGACAATCCGGATAAGAATCTCCCCATTTTGTTGCCAGACCTTCAATTTAAACACAATGAACTAAATTTATGCACTACCCTTAGCAATAGTCCTTTGTGTTTTGCTGCTGTAGGTCATAAGATCTGATCTTGTCTGTTTTCAAGTCATGATGGCATCACCACACCTGTCTTAGTAGAATTATTCTCTCATATAACACTAGGCCTGTTTCATCTGATGGAATACAGCTATGTTAGCATAATGTAGTATTTATTATCTTGAGATTGTGATCATTAGTAATGAATGTATAGTATTCAGCATTCAAATCAGGGACCTGAAAGTTTTCATCATCAATAGATGTAACCGGCTGGCCATAAGAAACAGAAATGCAAGAACCTCCGAATTTTAGTCCATTAGGTTTTGTTTTTAAGTGAGACAGCAATCATGATATACTTTCGCAGGGCGACTTTTAGGAACCAGACTGCTGCTTGCAATAATTTAACTTAAAAATTCACAAACTGCCAGAGCATTAATATTCTCAACCATGCAGAACTGCACTGACTGAGATTATAAATGCTGATCATTCTTGTTTTGCTCTCAAGTTAGATATCACAGCATTAAGTGATCCTAAGTGATTTATAGCATTTTCCAATTTCTTGTCCACCATTGCGTCAGTTTCTAAATTTGAATTTGATTGTATAATGGCTTGTTTCATAAGGTTTTTCATTTACACTTTGTGGAAGGTGTCCTCTGGTTTAAATTAGTTTTGCTGTGCTTCATTAAGGATATTGATTAAAGATCAATGTGGTCTGCTGTTTGCAACGCAGAGCAAATTACTCGGGGTTTAAGAATAATTTAGTTTTTTTCCTCCCTTTGGTATAATGTGCACCAATCAATTGTTCACAATAAGACCAAGAGCATGAATTAAAAAAGGTGATCATTTACGAAAAAAAGTCATCCTTTACTCACCCTCATGTTGCTCCAAACCCACATGACAAATGAAGATATTTTTATGACAAACTTAATTGGTTTAATTGTAAGCAAAATTTTATGTTTCATCGAATGTGCCACTTCCTGATTCTTTGTAATGTTTGTGCAGTTTACTAGCAATTTCTGAGTGAAAAAATGTTTCTACAACAAATGCTTTATATGTTTATAAAATGCCCTATACAATTATAAAATGCCTTATAAATCTTTCCAGAAATGTGAAATAAATTTCATTTTGGGGGCATCCATAAAAAATAAAAAGCTGAAAATAACAAATAAAAGAAACATAATTTGGAAGAGCAAAATATGTGGTTTTTATGTTACCATTGTGGATAATGAAAGAATATGTGTAATTTTCCTTGAAAGCAATATTGGGGGAAAATCATAGGGATTTATATTCTTGAATATTCTTGGCACAACATTACCAAACTACAGCATGTTATTAGTAACTGGAGGGACAACTGTCTAAACAAATGTCTCCTTCAGGAGCATATGAAAACCCCTATATTTGACCTGTGGAATGTGTTTTCTTCAATTTTCCTTTTATAGGTTGTTGAATCAATAATTGCAGTTTGGTTGCCATGACATTTGGAAATTAAACACATTTGGGTAGAAAAAAGAATGATAAGAAATGATCTATACAATCTGATACCTAAACCCTCTTTAATCTCACTGCAATAGCTTTTTAATTGAACTGAGCTGGCAGCTTTAGTCACTTACTGGCTGTGTGATTAATTGGTATAGATTTTCATTCACTTCCGCAGGGAGACTGAGGTAAATGTCCAGCCAGGCAAATAGGCATAAATAGAAGCAGCAGCACAACAACACTACAGAGAACACAATGACAGAAATAACCAGCTCCCTGAAGCGCTGTTTTTGATGTTAATCCTGTGATCCATAGTGCTGTCAACTGTTTTACTTTACAGTAAATATATAACACCATGAAATATTAAGATTATACGTATGTATTATTGTCAAATTGAGAATGAAAGTGATAATTTCTTAAAGAAATTATTTATTATTCATTTTAGTTATTATTAAGATGTTGTCCAAATTTGCTCTAACTTGGAGGTCTTTTCATTTTGCAGTTTTAAAGTGTTAAGAGAGATGCATGTTGAAGATTTTGTTTTATCAAAGCAGCTTCTTTATCTGCAATGTAACATCTTTTTTTTTTTTTATTTCAATATGACATTCATGGCCTCATTTAGAGATCAAGATGGCGCCGCAAATGGCAGCCAGGACGATGAGCTCCGCGATTCTTCTATTGTTTTTGTTTGTTTGTTCTGTGTTTTGTCATTCTTCTTCTATAAGTTTTACCAGAGACGAACTCCTTAACATTAAGCAGCACATCCCAGACAATATTTTTCCGGTTTTTGATTATTCGTACGTTTTGTTGGACATTCTAGTTGGAGGTACAGCTGTGTTGTTCAAACGCGCGTGCAGACGCAGAAGAGGGAAACGCGCCGGCGCCCTGGTGAAGCTCCGCGCGCACGGCTTTCGGACTGCGCTCCCAAGCATTCATCTCGCGAATGTCCGTTCCCTTCCTAACAAAACGGATGAACTTCTTCTCCTCACCCGCACCAACAAGGGCTTTTCAGACTCTGCTGCAGTGTGCTTCACTGAAACCTGGCTGAGTGAAGC